CCCGCACGCTGGGGACGATGCACCTCCACCACATCCACTACAAGGTGGACCTGGATGTCGACGGTAGGTCTGGGTGCCTTTGTGTGCATCTGTGGTTCACTGTGGGCTGCAGCTCTGCCTGGGGTGTGGAGCTTGAGAGCGTTTTCCCTTCTGCTTCACAGGGCAGCTGAACTCTGTGGAGACCCAGGACATGGAGTACGAGCTCGTGAAAGACCCCTGGAGCATGCAGAACACCATCGAGCGGCCGTACCTCCGCAGGGAGAGGCTGGAGAGGGAGGACGAGGCAGCGTTTCCGCTCAACGCCCTCATGCCCCGCTACCTCTCCTTTGCCAGCCCCAAGCCCAACAAGTGGGGGCACCCGCGCAGCTACCGGATCCAGATCGCCAGCTTCGCCGGGGAGCACCTGCCTGCCAGCAGCCCCATGGAGAGGTCCATCAGCTGGGGCAGGTGGGTGCCGGGGCTGCGGCGCGCATGGCCCCCGCCCCCTCTCCTCCCACCCTGCCACCGCGTCCCCGGCTGCTCCTGCCTCCCAGCGGAGGGGGGGCTGCTGCCACCCAGCAAGCTTGTGCCAGGCTGCAGGGAAGGGTTAAACAGCGAACACGCATATTTTTTGGCTCCAGAAATCCCTTGAAAAGTTGCTCAATGACATCTGTTCATAGTAGTTGACAGGCAGGAATCTGACCCCAGAAAAGATTAATTTGGAGCAATCACATGTGTTTTTCCCTGTGAGGGCAGCCAGGCTGTAGGACGAACTCCCAGGGGAAGCACTGGCATCCCCAGGTCTTGACATCTTCATGTAAGGACAGAATGTCTTTTGGAAAATGCTCGGAATAAACACAGAACTGGCTCACTGCCAGAGTGAAATTTAACGGCTCACGTGCTGGGGGAGGTTGTAGGAGTTAAAAATGGCTGTGGCTGAAGTGAGTGTTGGGCAGCAAGCAGCAGCGTCTGCGCCTGGACGCATTCGTGTTTCCCAGCCACGCTGGAGCAGCCGGGGCCCGTTGCGGTCA